AAGTGGCAGCCGTTTTTGGAGCAGACATGTCTTACTAAGCGGACCTAAACTTCAGAACACAAACTGTACCGACTTGTTTTCTACTGCAGTAACGAGACATGATAAACAACAGACCTCAGGTCGCCTCCGAACGGCGAATAATACAATAGTGAACTGTTTTTTCAAATTCATGCCCTTTGTAAGTGTTTCAATTCATCAGTCATGTCCAAGTTTTGAGGGCATACGTTCCATCAACAACACAAGCCGCCAAGTTCTCCTGAGCAAAGAATATTTCCTCTGATCCTCATTGCAACGATTCGACAAATCTTTTGTCTCTCGCCACTTCTGCTAATGCGTATCTGATGTCAATTCTTTCCATCGTGAATACCGTTTGAACACTCCAATTTTTCTTTGAGATTACAGCCATATAGTCCCATTAAACCAGATTGAGGTGGCCTCCGAGACCTGAACTTCGATTGTATACAATTTAGTGGTTTCAGGAGCTAGTGGTGTAATGTAAGATCTTCAAAACGTTGTCCATGTACTATTGATTGACCGTTTTCTCGCCCCGCACGGTTAATTTTTCCCTCGGGAGCCTCTCGACCAACTGGAAATATCCGCACTCACAGAATGCGGGTTGAAACGATTTTCGGGGGCCTTCCGTAAAGATTTCACGATCTTGTAACAGAAGATATAGGGCTTATCAGCGATGGCGCTGCAGAGAGCTATGTTCGACACTGTCAAATTATTAGGTTAAAGGCATCTAAAGACGCTTGCTTGTTGAACCAAACTTGGAGCCTGACAAAAAGCATGGAGAAATCTTTAGATACATGCAACTTGCGAATACTACTTATAGCGCTTAATATCATACAAAAACAACATACTACGAACAATGAACTTTATAGCGATTTATGAAAACTAAATGAAAGGACCAGAGAGGCTTGTCATCCAGCAGCATCCAAAGTTGTGCCTTAGAGGCCAGCAAGAAAAACCGTTAACCGTGGAAGAAGAACTGAAGACACTATACCTTTTATTGACAACCTGATGAGGGGCGCTGATCTGGAATCAGTTTCAGAAATCAAACTGCAATAACAGACAAGACATGGCAAAGGGCGGCAACCTTGTCAGCTAAGTTCAGGGGACTTCCCCCGACAGAAATGAGATGGTGAGGTGATCTTAGATTTTGATGAAAATTCAGATATCAAGTAAATTTGGTACAGTTTTCTTGTCATGGTCGGTTACCTTTACCTCAATGATTCCTCGCG